ACAGAATTTGAAATCAGTATAGCAACACTTCTTTTGTTCCCAGATCTATGGGAAGAGAAAAAGGAATTTCTGAAGCCCATTTTCTTCACCGCATCCTCTCTGTCCGCTCTTTGAAACTACTTGAGCCTCTTGCGTATGCTCTCCTGGTAGTCGTGCGTGTTGCCGGTTGTTTCCATGGTGATGTCTTTGGATCTCCTCGCCGGTATTGGTCCGACTGTAAAGCCCCACTTTCTCAGATCCGCCGCGGCTTCCTCAGCACTGCTGTATGTGACCGTGCCCGAGTCAAGGTGCACGCGCATTCGGGTCAGTGGGGTCTGGAAACGGATCTTCTTTTCCTTAAGTGCTCGTTTAGTCGGAGTTTACTCCTTCCTCCTCTGCTGTATGCTCTCAGCATAATCATGGTCAAAAAACACTTGTTTTGAACACAAATATTTTTCTTTTCTCTTTGACAGAGAACTGTAGAAACTGGACCACTGTTGAGCGTGGTGAGGCGCCTGCGGGCGGCCGCGGACCCAGCGCTCTGTGTGCTCTTTCAATTCCCAGACTCTTGTCCCGGTCCAGGCCAGTAATGTCCCCCAATTCCGAATGGATCAGGTTTTCCACAAACTGTGGCATGCAGGAGCCTTCTGCGTTTTCTGGGATGCCGTAAATCCATATATTGTTGCGTTGGGAATGGCCTTCTAAATCCGTGATTTTAGCTTGGAGTGACTTCTGGTTGTTAAGCAGTGGGATGAGAGTGTCTTTAAATCCGATGTCCCACGTCCCTTTCCAGGCCATGTTCTTCTCCACTTCTCCCAATCGTTTAGCGACCACCTCTATCTGGCCAGTGGCAGTTTTGACTTGCTGGTTAATTTCAGTTCTTATATCATCCAGTTGTGCTTTCATGTCATCTCGGAAACTGAGTCAGTTTTGTGTCAGTTCTGTTTTAATTTCTGATTTAGGCTCCCGCATGCACTCCGTCACCACCTCACTCACCACTATACGGAGGTTGCTGAGAGCCGCAGGTGAAGCCCCGTCCTCCATCATGTCGCCTCTTTCACGTTGTCTTCTTTTCGTGTTTCTAGTTCTGTATTGCTCCGTAGACCATCTCTCCCTTTTTTACCTTTATCCCCGCTCATTGTTGTATTTAGTTTAAATCACTTTAGTTGAGTTATATTCTTGAATTAAAGCTGCAAGCAGCATTGGGCGGGACCTTGCACTCCACGCAACTCGGGGTGTGGTGCGGCCGTGTCACATGCCATCGTAACACGTTCGGACCACAACATGAAATTTTCGCGTCTCCCCACTCCCAAGCCCTCATCACCAGAAGCTGAGGAAGACCACTCTACGTTGTCACACGTTTCAGACACTGCAAAAGACTTACGCTTTCATAGAGAGACTCTTCACTGCGAAAGGTGGAAATTCAGTGCCACGCCACGGACACACAGTTTGATGCATAGTAAATATTTGATTAACTTATGATCACCAATGTGTCGAGACTGCAGTGATCGAATATGAAGTCAATATGATAAAATCTGTAGGAGTTGGTTAAAATAGAAGCCCTGAAATGGCATCACAGTGGCCGACTTTGACGGCACGCCACGGACACGCCCTTCAACGTACAGACACATATAGCACAACTTTTAATCAACAACATATGTTGACTGTAATGACTAATTTTGAAGTAGATTTGATAAGTCCCCTATTAATACTTGACTTCCAGCGGTTTCCTACAATACTCCAGGATCAATACTTCGTAGGAAATATGGTTTGTAGATGTGGCTAGTGGGAGTGGAGGGGTGTTTTATCACTTTGAAAAAAAAAGTACATAGTATGAACATTTCTGTATTTGTGATTAAAATTCAATAAAAATGTCTGAGAGAAAAAGATAAGTCCCCTATGAGGAGTTCGTTCAAATAGAAGGCAAGAATTCACCAAAAATGACCACAAAATTCAAAATGGCCAACTTTGACGGCACGCCACGGACACGCCCTTCAACGTACATGCACAAATAGCACATCTTTTAATCAGCACCATTTTTTTTACTGTACTCACAAATTTTTAAGCATATCTGATAAATTCCCTAGGAGGAGTTTGTTCAAATACAATGCGAAAAGTTCGCCGAAAGTGAAAATCAAAATGGCCGACTCCCTGTGGGGTCTTGGGTATGGGTCCAAGAGGCTTTTTTGTACGTTCCGGCATGTTACACGTGCCTACCGAGTTTTGTAATTATTGGTGAAACGTGGCACCAGGGCTGTTGTTTTTTTATCCTGTAGGGGGCACTACAAACATGATTTTTGGTATGTGAGCTTCAGGCACCACTCTACACGTGCCCTGTGAATTTCATATTCATAACTATTACGGTCTCCGCACAGTGATTTATCATACCAAAAGAGCACCACCTAGTGGCGTATACTTTTTGTCCTTTTTAAGTGAGCCTCAAGGAGCCATGGGCAATCATCGTACCAAGTTTCATTTTAATCACACGTGCCGTTGCAGAGATATAAACTTCTTCATTTTAAAGAGCGCCACCTAGTGTCGATGACTTGAAATTGTGCACGATGCCTAAGAAAGACATGAGTAACTATGGACCCAAGTTTGGTGACAATTTTTGAATGTGCGACAAACTATAATAAGTTATAAGTTATTAGCCTAAACACATTTTTTATGATAGTAGCGCCACCTAGTGGCCAACCTGAAAGCGACGCACAGAATATCCTCATGTTCACCAGGCCTGACAACTTTGCCAAATAAAATTGAGTTTTCGTATATGTTCAGGGGGGCAAAACTGCAGTCAAAGGGGGCTAAAAATAAGAGGTAAGAAGAAGAAATTGAGCAAAAACAATAGGGACCTCCAGCAGTCGCTGGCTCGGTCCCTAATAATTCCTACAAGAACAATAGTGACCTTGCACTTGTTAGTGCTCGCTCCCTAATTAAAGCTGCAAGCAGCATTGGGCGGGACCTCGCACTCCACGCAACTCGGACCCCACGCCCAAGCCTTCATCGCTGGAAGCTGGGGGAGACAGCTCTACATTGTCACGTTTCAGACACCATACAAAAGACTTAGGCGTACTCATAGCGAGACCCTTCACTGCGAACCGTGGAAAGTCAGTGCCACCACCTACACGCCGTTTGACGCACAGTTAATATTTGATAAAGTTTTGATCACCAATGTGTCTAGATTGCAGTGATCGAATTTGAAGTCAATCCGATAAAATATGTAGGAGGAGCTTCAAATTGAAGCCCTGAAATGCCTGAAATGGCATCACAGCTTGACATTCGATTCAATCTGGCCAACTTTGGCGGCACGCTATGGACACGCCCTTCAACGTACAGTCACAAATCTCACAACTTTTAATCAGCAAAATTTCTCAAGTATACTGTCCAGTTTTGAAGCAGATCCGATAAATTCCCTAGGAGTTTGTTAGTTCAAATACAAGACCACGGAATTCAAAATGGTTTCGTTTTAATCATACATGCCCATGTGGAGATATAAACTTCTTCATTCTAAAGAGCACCACCTTGTGGCGATGACCTGAAATTGTACACGATGCCTAAGGAAGACATGTGGAACTATGGACCCAAGCTTGCATGGATGGAACACGCAAACGTAGTTTTTGGACATTTTGTGCTCTAGCGAAAAAAAATCTAGGCGGAAGTAGGCGTGGCCTATATAGGGAGATGAAGCTCCATTCACCAAACGCGTGGATATAGGTTTTTTGAATGTGAGACAAACGATGCAGGAGTTATTGGCCTAATCCTACTTTTCTTAATAGTAGCGCCACCTAGTGGCCGAGCTGAATGTGACGCATAGAATATCTAAGTTTCACCAGGTCTCACCAAATAAAATACATCCGAAGTATATGTTCAGGGGGTCAGAAATGCAGTTAAACATTCCCACAAATAATAATAACTTTAGCAATAACAATAGAAACCTCACAGTGTTTGACACTAATAATATCAGTAATATTAGCAATGGAAGTCAAGCAGGACCATAGCAGGAGGCAACACCAGGATCCATGAGAACCTGCGCGTCGAGAAAGCACAAGAAGTCCGGGAAGAAGTGAAGTTAGTAACATGCATTAATGGGACATGCATGAGTGCAGAAAGAGAGAGAGAGAGGAAGAGAGGAGCTCAGTGCATCATGGGAAATCCCCAAATAGTCTAGGCCCATAGCAGCATAACTAAGGGATGGTTCAGGACTAACCTGAGCCAGCCCTAACTATAAGCTTCATCAAAGAGAAATGTGCCTACTCTTAAATGTGGAGAGGGTGTCTGCCTCCCAAACCACAACTGGAAGCTGGTTCCACAGGAGAGAAGGTTGGTAGCAGAAGGCTCTGGCTCCTGTTCTACTTTTAGAGACTATAGTAACCACAAGTAGCCCTGCATTCAGAGAACGCAGTGTTCTAGGGGGAAATAGTAGGCAGTTTTGCCTTGCCCTTGTCGCCAAGTGCTTGCTCATAGTGGTACTGTTGGGTCTCTGTAAATAATGTTATAAGGAGTTCGGTCTAGACCTGCTCTATTTGAAAAGTGTCCTGAGATAACTTCTGTTATGAATTAGCGCTATACAAATAAAATTGAATTGATTTAATAGGGTACTATGAGCTCTTTAAGATATGAAGGGGCCTGACCATGAAGATCTTTATAGGTGAGGAGGAGGATTTTAAATTCTGTTCTAAATTTTATAGGGAGCCAGTGCGGAGACGCTAGTACAGGAGAGATATGATCTCTTTTCCTAGTTTTTTTTTAGTTTAGATTAGTTTTTCTGCATCCATCTGTGACAGGATGTGTCTAATTTTTGTAATATTGCGTAAATGAAAGAAGGCAGTCCTAGAGGTTTGCTTTATGTGGGAAATAAATGACATGTCCTGATCAAAGATAACTCCAAGATTCCTTGTCTGATCAACGGTAGATTCTCAAACCTGTTCAATTGTTTGTATTATTATTACAACACTATGTATCTCCTGACATTTCTTATTCAGTGATGGTGTGTTTTCTCTCTCCCTCTGTCTCTGTCTCAGAGGATTATGCGTCCATGTGTAACCGTCCTCTGGGTGACGGGCGCCGGACGTACGGTCATGACGCTCTTGTTGCCGGCCCAGTCCATGAACATGAAGTGAGCCCTGACTATTCACTATCACCTGAGCAGCAGGCTGTCCTGCCTTTTTATGAGAAAGAGGAGCGTGAGTATTTGTATTTTGTGCATCCTTTCACATTAACGGAGGAATAGCACTTTAATCTGGCCTTTACAACGACAAGACTAAATTATTTTAAAGACGCCTGCAGAGAGAACAGAAAACAAACAAACATTAAAGTTTGATAATAAACACTATTGTCGTAAAAAAATACAGTAATATACATTTTTTTTTAAAATAGTCATGCTCCAATTGCAAATTAGTTTTGAAGCCAATTGCCAATTATAGCATAAACTGGTCTTAGCATTACTAAGCATTTGTAGTTAAAATCAGGAATGACAGGATCTGTGATCTGGACGGAGTTAAAAAGTTAATCTACCTTTATTGATATAAATGGCAATGTGTAAATATTAGTATTATTTCTCAATAAAACACAGTACACAAACTGCAGCCTCCAAAATTACTATAAAAAAATGATATTCTATTACTATAAAAAACTCGTATTAGCTTGATGTACCTAATAAATTGGCAACTCAGTGTGCATTATGCTGGGAATCTCCAGTTGTTTGGACAACTTTAACTATGCTCATAACTATGACTTCTATAACAGCTGTAAGTGAAGCCAAATGCAGTGAACAGCAGAGTTTTTCATTATTGGGTACCATAAATAAGCAGGTTCAGCTTCTCTGATGACATTGAACGTTGAATAAGATTTTTATTTCACAATGCTTTGCTGCCATCTTGTGACAATGAAACTAACAACATGTCAGAAGGAGAACCTTTAAAAGGTACAATAGTCCGAGAGTCCTGATCTCAGTACTGCAGTGGCTGAATCCTCAGCTGGGGAGAAAACCTTTACCTCTGATGGCTCACAGTGGAAAAATATTCCACTCATGTAAACCATGTTCTTGATCAGTGTACTTAAATAAAGCAGTGGTATTATTAGTTTTATTAATTGACATATTAAGGGATTTTGTCACTCCTATTATTATTCTTTGTTTTCATTTTATTTAGGAGATGCATACAATGGGAACTGCAGTTCTTATGATGTTATGGGGGATGTAAACCCCCCGGAAGTGCAGGAGGTTTGAATTTGACATAGTGCAAGGTTTCCACACAAGTTTTCCAGTTATAGAAACAATATTTTAGCCCTTCACTCAGAAACATGTATGTCATGGCATGAAACTTCGATGCCGTATTACCTTACATAGAATTAACTTCCAGCAGTCATTTCAGCTGAAATGTTAGAATTTTCTGTAAAATAAAATAAATTATACTTAAATTAAACTTTTAACTTATGGGCTGTGGCCAAAGTAATGTGTTTGAGGGTTAGAAGAAAACTGTAGTAAAATGTAATCAGTTCACTGGAAGAGTACACAGTGGAAAAATCAGCTGGAGTGAGAACAGCCAAGTGCGCCACACAGCAAAGCGTGCCACAATGAATCAATGTGGAGTGTGACCACCTAGCTGTTATGGCCCTGAGATACTTCACCAAAGACCCTGCATCATTAAAAAAAGAAGAATAAAACTAGGATTAAATATGTCAATACTAGGTCTATTGGTAAAGTATGTGACCGATTATGATCAAGTGCTGTCTTGTATTGTCAAGAAACCTCCTGGAAAATGTCCTGGAAAGGTCCTGGGAAAATGTCTCTTAAAAATAGTTGGAACCCTGATAGTGGCTAAACTGTGAAATTACAACTCACTTGAGGCACAGCGGCCCAGAAAGAATGGCGGATGTATTTTTTTGACCATTGCTTGAAATTACTGGTTTCACTAGCTCACTAATTTGATTCATTTGGTCCAATAAAATTTGGAAAGTCCAGAAGAGCTGCACGATTAAGTCATTTTATCCCAATTCAAAACAACTGAAAGTTAGCCGGCTCGGCAGAAATCTCTTGTGCGCAGTATGCATTTATCCGGGATAAATTCTTCACAGTAAGTTTTTTTGTTTCACTAAGCAAGTTTTGTTAGAAAGAACGGAGCCCACCTCCCATCTGATCCTCTGTATGTCCTGTACATATGGCAGAATTGACAATAGTGTTGACTTTGACTTTTTTTACTTGAATTTACTTTAATGAAGAAAAATGTATGTGTCTTTTCTTGATGATTTCTCATCTCTGATCAAAATCATCAAATATGTGTATGCTACCCTTGAGGTGAGTACTTGAGGCCCCCTCTACTTTAAAACCCACTCACATTTAGCCAAATCCCACATTTTTTTCCGATGTTATTCATACTAACATCTCAAAATTGTGACCTATTGATTTCAGAATGATACACTTGGTTATCTTTTTGTGCTACAGATCCATACAAAGCATTTGAGGGTTTGCAAGCAGAGGAGTGTGGGATACTCAACGGCTGTGAAAATGGTCGGTGTGTCCGGGTTCAGGAGGGTTACACCTGCGACTGCTTTGATGGATACACCCTGAACCTGTCCCGCATGGCCTGCATTGGTAAGAGGGCACTTACACAACTAAAACAAAGAACAATGAACATAACTTAAAAATATCTGTCATGTTTTATGTTATGTCTCTCCTCCCCTGTCCACAGATGTGAACGAGTGTTCAGAACTAAACAATCGGATGTCGTTATGTAAAAATGCAAAGTGCATTAACACAGTGGGCTCCTATCATTGTGTGTGTCTGCCAGGCTTCACTGCCTCTGACAAACCCAACTACTGTGTGGAGGCAGCAATACACCAAACATCAGCACACACACAGTGAGCATGGATGGACAGTAGGGGGCCACAAGAGAAACTAAAACCACACGCACAAGCTTGTATTACTATACTTGTGAGGACGTCCACTGACTACATTCAGTCATTTGCAAATCCTCAGCAGTAACCTTAAAGTTGAACTCTGGTTTGGTTAAATTGTCCAGCAGCACTCCCAAAACACAGCTGATCACCAGCAGTGACTTGGAGGAATGGTAGAGATATTGGGGTCATATAACAAAATCACAGAGTGTACCATTAAACTGTTAAAATCTATTAATAATCTTTGCCCAAAATCTTAATTAAACCTCCAGTTTTATACCCCTAAATTTTGTTTTTGAATTCACCAAATTGTTATTCTAATCTTACTCCATAATTTAAAATCCAGATCTGCTGTTTACCAAGTGTCATTATTTTACTCACTTCCTGCATTTCCTGTTCTACAACACTGTGGATTTTTACAGTGCTTCTGTTGTAAAATATTCGTTATATTTTCTTAATTTTCCAATGTTGGCATTTTAAAATCCTTCCTAAATATTATAAAGTACTCCTACTGTTAAGGCCCTGTAAAAAGCTTAAAAGTATAATTTCTTTATTCATTTTTACCAACTAGACGGTTAACACTGTAACCTACTCTGGTTTATTTGGTTAAAGCAATAGTTCAACAATAGTTTGGCCTATTGTATGCTTAGTTGTAGTCTTTGCAGTTAGATGGAAGATTTTCTGTCTGTGCTTTATGAATGGAGCTAGAGGCAGGAAGGGATTAGGTTGGCATAGACTGCAAACAACTTCCAGTCTTTATGCTCAGCTGTACTTACACAGAAAATGAGAGTGCTATCAATCTACCTATCTCACTCTTGGAAAGTGACTAACTGTATTTTTCCACAATGTTTAGGTTTAGCTTGAATGAGCAGTAGTTGGCAGAAAATGGGTCATAAATATTTATTAAAAAGTCAGTTTGGAGAACAAAATGCACAAACCAAAAGAAAAAGAAAGTTAAATCATGACTCCCCTCTTTGCTGTTCTTTGTCCAGCTGTAACAAACATTCACACTCCTGTATGTTGTGTTTCTGTATTGCTGAATCAGAATGGGGCTAGTAGCAGTTAGTGAATGTTAATGAGTTAATCATGAAGCCAAAAACCTGCAAATACGCTGTGTTTTTTTGTTTTGAACCTTCAACCTTACTATCACATAGCACTGCAAATATAGTTGCAAGGAGTCATTATTAGTGTTAAATGTGAGCATTCAGTATCCCTTATATAACACACTTTACTCTAAAGTTACCATTGCATTGAGAATTTTGACACTTATGAATCATAATTTTCACAGAAAGACTCCAAGGTGGTGCCCATTAATTTCAGTGAAAATTGCATGAACTTAAGAACTGCTTTTCTTGGCTCTGGGAATGTTTTACAAATATAATAGTAATAATAATATCAATGTAAAACCTTCTTGAATTAGAATTGTTTTGGGCATTTTTTTGTCATTTTGAAACTGCAAAAGAAAGTTGAGATTTTTTTTTTGAAGGCAAATGTTTTTTGTAAGAATAAAATTGCTAGTAGTTTGGTGACATATGGCTAAACATTTTGCGCAGGATACTGTTACGAATGGTTAAGCTTGCGGGAAAATTACTGGTCAAATTTGAACGAAAAGCCACAGGATCAGGGTTGTTACAGTATATCTTCTAGGAAACATTAATGTGTGTATCAAATGTTGAGCCAATCCATCCAACAGTTGAGACATATCACTCAAAACAACAAGCTATTGGTGGCACTAGAATAGAACCCAGGGGTCATCAGAATTCACCATCTGGGTAACATGAATGTTTGCACCAAATTTCATGTCATTTCTATCAATCCATGTAAATTAATTGACTCTTCCTAAGTCCCACCCCTTTTTGCTCTGTGCTCCAATAAAAGTTGAGCAAACTTCAGTCAGAACCTTAGTAAATGTTCTCCTTTCCTGTACTTAGATATGCTATGTGCTAGGCTAATCTATGTTGAAAAAACTAGTTAGCCTAATGATTGATGTTGATTTGCTTGCTAGTTAGCTAACATTTTGCTAACATTAGCTGACTCAAAATGCGACAATATATATATATACACAGATCAGCCACAACATTATGACTAGATAGTCATAATGTTAGGTAGATACCTAATATTGTGTAGGTCCCCCTTTTGCAGCTAAAACAGCCCTGACCTGGACAGGGGTCAGCATGGGCACCCTGACTGGTCTACGGGCCAGCCTTCACTCCCCACTTTGCATCAATGAGCCAGTTCACCACTTCTCCTTCTTTTTGACCACTTTTGAAAGGTAATGACCACTTGCAGACTGGGAACACCCCACAAGAGCTGCAGTTTTGGAGGCACTCTGATCGAGTCCTCTAGCCATCAAAGTCGCTCAGATTTGTTTAGCTTCTAACACATCAAATTTTTACTTGCTGCTTAATATATCCCACCCATTGACAGGTGCCATGATCACAAGATATATATATATATATATATATATATATGTATATATATATATATATAAAGACAAAACTAAGTTTCATAGAACATTTGTTTAACTCACTTTAACATGAAAGTAAGGTGAATAATATAACTTTCTAATAAACTCAGTTTTACTCTAATTAGTTGATGCAAAAAATTAATACACCACAACCACAACTACTAGATCTAGTATTTTGTATGACCTCCATGATTTTTAAGGACAGCACCAAGTCTTCTAGGCATGGAATGAACAAGTTGGCAACATATTGCAACATCTATCTTTTTCCATTCTTCAAGAACAACCTCTTTAAGAGCCTGGATGCTGGATGGAGAGGGATGCTCAACTTGTCTCTTCAGAATCCCCCATAGGTGTTTGATTGGGTTCAGATCAGGAGACATACTTGGCCCCTGAATCACTTTCACCACGTTCTTCAGAAATGCAAAAGTGGCCTTATGTGTGTTTTGAATCATTGTCATGTTGTAAGAAGTACACAACGACCAAGGGTCCAAAGTGATTGATGCATCTTCTCTTTTAATATAGAGCAGTACATCTGTGAATTCATGATACTGTCAATGAAATGCAGCTCCCTGACACTCATGCAGCCCCACATAAGGACACTGCCACCACCATGTGTCACTGTAGGCACCATGCATTTTTCTTTGTACTCCTCACCTTTGCGACGCCATACAGTTTTGGAGCCATTAGTTCCAAAAACATTTATCTTGGATCTCATCACTCCAGAGTATAAAGTCCCAGTAGGCTTCATCTTTTTCAGCATGTGCCCTGGCAAATCCTTGGCGGGCTTTTTTGCATGGGCTTTAGGAGAGGCTTCTCAAGACACCCAAGCATGCCATTCCTCTGCAGGGGTACACTGTATTATGTCATGGGAAACAGTCATCCCAGTTTGGCTTTGTACTTTTTTACAGTGAACTTGATACTTTTTGTATCATTTTTGCTACAGGGTTTACTCATTTATGCTAAGCAATGTATATATGTGTGTGTGTGTGTGTGTGTGTGTGTGTGTGTGTGTGTGTGTGAGACTTTTATCTTTTCAATCTTCAAAATGTGGTTGTCTTTTCAACATAGATTAGCCAAGCATGTAGCATATCCAAGTATAAGAAAGGAGGAAGGTGACTGAGGTTCTGATAAGGGGTGAGGCAATTAATGAGGTTTTTTCAAAGTAATTAAGCTGGATTAAAGTGACATTGTCATTGTGACATTGCCATCCCTGGAACCCCACAGCTAGTATGGCTAATACGTTTTGGAACCGAGTCTTTTCAAAATTTCCACCCATGTATTTATTATGCTGCCTGATAGCTAACTTATTACTACCCGACACATATGATGAATTGTCAGAATGAATAATAATCAGTTGATTTTTTTCTTGTTCTTGTTGTTGAAGCCCAACAACTATGCCCAATGCCTAATGCCAAAATGTTAACTGACAACCTCAAAGAAATGGAAATCAACTAGTTTGCCTTCAAACAATTTTTTATCTATAAGGGGACATTTGGTCCTTAAAAGTATAGAAATACAAGCACACACACATATAACACACTGACACTTACTTAATCAAAGCCCATATATTCTGCACTGTATAAGATACACACTAATGAAACAAACAGTAATTTACTTGAGATGAAGATTCAATTGAATCTACTATGTGGGAGATAGAAACACAGAACTGTATAAAATTAATGTTTTGTCTGTTGCTTTTCTAAGTCTGTTTCTTTTTTGTTTTCAAGTGGAGTTTTATGTGTGTTATAAGAGGCCATTTTTCTCATTTAACGTATCGACAAACCCTATAGGGGGATCCAGTTGTTATTTTGTACCCAGTCAGAGTGATTATGGATATTTAATTCTGTGAAGAGGCCAGCTGTCTGCTCCCTCTCTTCCTCCATCGCCAACTGTCTTTCTGTCAAAAAGAAAAGCTTGTTTCTACACTACAGCATCACTAATCCATTAAGATACACATTTTGACATATTAAAGAAAGTTGCTATTGTAAAGTCTTTGGAATAAGCTTTTTGGTGGATTTTGTCTTTGTTTTGTCATACAGTAAAACTACTGGTTGTCTGGAACATAAGACAGTGTTCCATGTTTCATACAAAGAACTAAAATACTTTTTTGTTTCCTAGTATTCCTTCCCATCTTCCTTTCCACTTGTGTTGAGATGACTGAAATTATGTTTTATTTTTCATATTTCTCTAATCTGCATTTCACTGCAAAGTCTTGCCAGGTTGTAAAGCTGCTATGGGACAGCGATGGGAGAGAAGAAACTTGTGTACATTTAAACAAACGAGTGGAGAAAACAGCTGATGTATTTGTAATTTGTACATGAATAAATAGCTTTTTCTATGAATTCATATTACAGTGTACATTAAACCCCTTGGTAATAAACCACATATTGTAATATTTACATTGGCTGGCCAGTCAGTTTTTACTGTTTATTCACTATGCTCAAAATTGGCTAAGAAGGCAGAAACACCAATCAGTTCTGAGGGCAGTCTGATTAATGTTCACAACCTGAGCATGGAATAAACAGGAGATTCAAAATGTTGATTAGGTGTGTATTCTTTTTTTGTGAAGAGAAATTAGGGAAATGAAACTCAAATGCATGAAGAATAGTTTTGCAGTGAAATTGTACCAACCTGAATTAATGGTGAGGTACCTCAAGAATCTCAGACCACAACACTATCTAGCACTAGCATTTAGATCTCTAACCTGTTGCTTTTGTACTTCATGCTACATACAGTCACTGGCATGTGTGTATGCACCAGTACTAGTACTTATCAAGGTTCTTGTTCTTGGAAAGAAAACATTCATAGACTTAATTTCTTACTGAAAATTAAACAATGGACCATACTAAACACTGCAGCCATGAAACCTGTTTCAGCTTGCTCCCTGTAGGTGTTGACACCACATCATTTGTAGATCTAATATTTGATTTGGCATAGGCTTTTTACGCCGGATCCCCTTCCTAATGCAGTAATGTTAAAGGTACACTAAAAATCTAGCAGTTTAGTTTGGATTCAGTGGGTGGGTACAGTGTGTTCCTAGAGAGGACATGTGTAACAAAAAGGGTAATGCATCCATAGAAATTTCTCAAACCACTTTGTAAGTCCAACTCTGCTCTCCACTTGTATGCTCTGTGTTTTGAAATAATAATATGTACACTAAAATGTAGTTGAGACATCTCAGTAATAATAAAAAATGTCTATCTGCTAATGCCACTAGAAAAGGTCAGGGCACCACTTAAGTCAGTAAGATATACTGTATGGGCTGTACAAATGTCTGTACAAAATATTGTGCTAATCCACCTAGTAGATGTTGAGAAATTTAACTGGATAACCTGCCAGTGGCATTAGATATAGAGTCAGAGGTTTACCAAAGTCAGTAGGATCCATCTTCAGAGAAAAGGCCTCCATATCCTATTAGCATATTGAAACTGTATATATTGTTATATGTGATTGATCAACAGTTGAATAGGTTGCAGAAGAATTTGTTCATTGTCCATTTGGATTAGATTCTGTCTGTCTATCTGGCTCAGTCTCCTCCCCTCTGTCTCTATCTGTAGCAAGGCTGCTCAGTGATATTTGCAGAGCTGTCTTGCACACCAATCTTTGTTTCCAGTAAACTCAGAATCTATTTATAGACTGTATGTGAGTGAAAAAGAGAGGGACAGTGTTTGTGTTAGTTAGTTATTGGAGAGAGAGTTAATCTGCAACACTTAAAATAAGTTTTTGTCTATCATTGGCTATCCCGACGATGAGTACTGATAATACAGGATTATGATTTAAATGGTAGAGGTCACTTGGCAATAATGTTTTCTGGATCACAGTAAGGTAAGTGCATATTTTAATAATGGTATGTGTCTGGCGAGAACAAAACTCATATACACCAATCAGCCATAACATTATGACTGTGGCTACACTGTCTCCAGTTCACTGCTTTTCCTTCCTTGGACCACTTTTGATAGGTGCTGACCACTGCAGACTGGGAACACCCCACAAGAGCTGCAGTTTTAGAGATGCTCTGACCCAGTCATCTAGCCATCACAATTTGGTCCTTGTTCAAGTTGCTTAAATCCTCATGCTGCCCATTTTTCCTGCTTCTAACACATCAACTTTGAGGACAAAATGTTTACTTGCTGCCTAATATATCCCACCCACAGACCTGTGCCATGCTAACCAGAAAATCAGTGTGATTCACTTCACCTGTCAGTGGTCATAATGTTATGGCTGATCAGTGTATATTCAGCTATGAATTAAAACAGGTATATGTTGGAGGTCATCTTCATGTTATGATTTATTATATTAACACATTTGCCATAATCTTTGTAACAAAGCAGGTGATACTGTGGGCCATTAATTTTAAATGCCTCTAAAACATGGTAGGTAACCAGGGCAGATGAGCTGCACACAAAATGTTTATTGCCAATTAAAGTGGAAGGAGATGCCTTTCACTGCAAAAACTGTGCCATGTTTCATCTGTGCCTAGTGGAAGATAATCCACTTGATTTGGCTGAAGCCTCAAATTAATTTGCTGAACTCAAAGGTCCAGTGTATAAAACATCTAGGAGGATGTATTGTCAGAAATTGTTATGTTTTTGTTTCTTCATAATGAGCCATTTGTATTTGTATCATTTGTTGAACCACAATGTTTTAACAGTAGCCTAGAAGGGAAAAACAAAACTGCCTTTAGATAGGGCCTCTTGAATTTCCCTCGGGATAAATAAAGTATCCATCTATCTTTAGTGATTTTCAAGGGGAAGATGAAAGCAAGGGAGTTGCAATCTGCAACTAAAACCCAGCCAAATAGACCCTCTCTACAAAGCATCTTACTCAACAACGTACAGGTACTGGATAATTAACTGAATGATCTCTGCACTCAAACTAGTTTCCGACAAGATATCAGAAACCGTCATGACCATTGTTTTACCAATACTTGGCTACATCCTGAAATAATGGACAGCACCCTTCAACCAGGTGACTCTTTTTTCTATATATTGATCTAACAGAAGAGAAGAGGAGGCATGTATTGGTGTGACAGTGGGATTATTAAAATGATATCCCATTACTGCTCAGCTGATTTGGAATAATGTCAATCAGATGCAGACCACAGTTTCTGTCGAGGAATTTACACCAGTTATCAGCACAGCAACCTACATCACACCTCAGGCAAGCACAGATGCTGCCCTGTTTGATTTTTGCAAAGGTTTGCTGCTCACAGACTAATCCTGATATGGCGCTTATTGTTGCTGGAGACTTTAGTCACACATTTTATACCTGGCTTCCATCAACATATTGACTAAATTAACACTCTGGATTACTGTTATACTGGTTTCAGAGTGGAATAGCTACCTGCGGGAGGAAGAGGAAGAGCGGCCACATGGCCATTTTGCTTAGGTCAAAGTATGTAAAAAAAAACGACATACATACGCAACACATACCCCCAGTAATGCAAGAGGACGACCTGCAGCCTGGACACCACCATTAATGTCATTACTTGCTTTGAGGCCATCAGCAGCCTGCAAGCAAAGACAGCTGAAGGGGGCACTCTCCACATCTATTACTCTTTCTAAACATGATGTTAATAGGGCTTTCAGGCATATGAACAGCAGAATCAGTGAGCAGATCCTCAAACTTGACCAACCAGCACCGGTATTCACAATGACATCAATTTCTCAATTTCAGTAAAGCGCCAAATCAGTCTGTCATACCTCAGTGACTGAGAGGGAAGCTGAAAGACATTATGGACAACACCACATCCTCAGGAGCTCAGAAGCACCTTCAGCCACAGACTGATCCGGCCACGTGCCTCTAAGCGGTTCGGAGGCTCATAAGCCATCAGACTCCACATCGCACAGCACCCAGTACCTCCCACCTCTGCTGATTAAGACTGTTTTAACTTTAACCTGCTATGCACAGCTTTCGATTTTTGATTACATCCTTATTATATTTTTATTTTATTATTCTTTATTGTATTTTTTATTTGCACTAAATTCCCCTGTGCTGCTGTGTCAAACTTGAATTTCTCCCACAGGGGATCAATAAAGGAACATCTTATCTTACCTGCATGATTCAAAAACAGCTTCCTGTAGAGATAGAACAGCTGGTCCAGGTTTACATCTGCTCCTCATTACTCAGCACATTGGACCAATTACAGCTTGCCTACCACCTCAACCCATCAATGAAAGATACCATAGTGCACATCCTCCACACCACCCTACCCCACCTGGACAAGAAAGGGAGCTATGTGCTGTTTATTGCCTGCAGTCAACATTCAACAGTTCTCTCCAGGCTCATCCCAAACCTCAAGGACTTGGGATTAAACACCTCACTGTGAATGTAGTCAATCCTTGACTTCCTGGGACAGTAACACACCACTGTGGGTGTGCAGTACACCACCCTCCCCTACAATACTACCATTGTACCCATTAGGGCTGACTAAAGATTTTTCTAGTCGACAAGTAGTTGTTAGTTGAAGCCATACGTCAATAAGTTGTTTACATTTATGAAATTAATTTCATTATTTAAATATATTTATTTTCTGTCTGTTAAATGGTAATGTGAAAAAAAATATTCTGAATGTGTCAGAACCATTGACAGTATATATATGATGGGCAGAGCCTACGAGTGTGTGAAGTGAAGCCAATGCAGTATCTTAAACCTGCATTATATGTGCAGAGGCTCAGAGGCATAGGGGGTCTTCCGCTAATTGGAAGGTTGTTGGTTCAATCCCTGACTCCTCCCGCCATGTGTCGAATATCCTTGAGCAAGATACAGAACCCCAAATTGCTCCTGATGCTGTGCATCAGTGTGTGAATGTGTATGAAGAGAGAGAGAGAGAGAGAGAGAGAGAGTTCCAAGAGAGAAGGCTGCATGAAAAATGTGCTCCTAAATTCATCTCAAACATGGACCTAAACAGTGGGACATTTTGCAAAAAAAACATCGAATTTTCTTCAAAAAGGACTCTAAAGAAAAGGTAAATACTTTATCAGCAAAACAGAAGAAAGAAAATAAAATTTTTGGATATACTACTGTCATGTGATATACTGACTGTCAAAAGCTAGCTGGCAACTGTGTATCAACTGCTGTAAGCTACCACCTGCCACAGTGTAGAACATTTCTAAGGAGGAAGCAGACTAAATAAGATAACAAGAAGAGGTGTTTTATGAAGATACGGAGGAGAAGAAAAGAACAAACCAAAAATCATAACATTAATAACTGTGTTTAAAGGCTAAAAAAGCTAGCAACAGTAAAGAGTTAGCCCACTAGTAAACAAACAAAGTGGTCGCCATGGAAACAGCCAAGCAGAGAACAGGGAGGTTAAATACCCTGCTCTCTGTAAGAGTGCACCAGCCAGGGAGAAGTTTAAGGAAAAGACACTTCAGGAGAACAAAGAAGTCTTGTTCACGGACTATGCACTACACAAAGAAGGGAGGAAGAACAACCTCATATTCTTCACAGACTCCATATACATCTGGAAGGAAAGTCTATGCAAGAAATATCCTTACATCTCCAGTGAGGGCATCGGTTCAGGAGGCCGACTGAAGATTTGTAAGGATAAACACATGAACAAGGATGGCCCCCTGCTCACCATCACCTACTACACAAAGGGAAAAGTGATGGTCCAGGGGGGCGAAGCAAATTTGAAATCCTTTGAAGAAGTTTTCTCCCTGATTAAAGCTGAGGTGGACACCAAGAGGTGCAATGTTCCGTGTGACAGTGAAGATGATGAGAGCCCAACAGAGAACCCCACCACCTTGTCCATCTCTGCCCCTCCCACACCTGCCAGCTCCACAAACCAGCTGAAGGAGAGTATGGCCCTGCTAGACTTGGACTTTGCTGAATTCAAAGAGCTGACCCAGGCCAGGCTGTCTGACCCCCTAGACAACATTGTGCAGCAGCTTCAAGATGAGCTCCAGCAGCTCAAGAGAGACAACCAGGCCTCGACATCTGAGCTAAGAGGAAGTGTAGAGGCACTAAAACAGGAGAACAGTGTGTCAGTTAGCCAAAGTGAAGGAGGATGCTGAGAACAGAGAAAGGAACTTCACCAGGCAAGTCCGACACCTGACAGACCAACTCTCAACAGTCCCCACAAAGACAACTACAGAGACAGAGACACAGACTCTCCCTGCTAGTCTTCCAAACCCCTGCCTTGTCTCTGTCCCACCATCTCTGCTCTGCACCTTACCAACACCCACACAGCCAGCTCCCAACAGCCAACTCTGTCCATCCCAGCTGCCCTCCACTCAGCCTGAAGAACAAGCCCCACAAGTGGTCCTGCTGGCTGACTCAAACGGGAAATTCCTGGACACCAACAAGCTTTTTCCTTCTAAGAAAGTGCTGTCTAAACGTTGCAGCACCATAGGCCAGGCAATGAAGCTGTTGAGAAAGGAGACCCTCGGGAGCCCTCAATGCCTGGTGATCCACACAGGAACAAACGACCTGCACAACCTCCGAAGGGACACTGCTGAGGCAGTGAGGAAGATGGCGGAACAGGCCACCAAGGAATTCCCTAACACCCGCATTGTGATCTCCACCCTGCTGCCTAGGACAGACACCCCTCCTCACGTCATCCATGACATCAATATGGAGATCAGAAGAGGTTGTGCCACCTTACCCAACGTCCACCTGGCCCTCCATCCAACCATTGGCACCTGGGACCTCTACGATGGACTCCATCTACACAGAGAGAAGGTGAATATCTTTGCAAAGACCCTCAAAGACACGGCCCTAGGACGCAGCCCTTCAACCCTCTCTTCTACCAGAAGCTTCAGAGACCATCACAGACCCCCCCCCATCATCAGCCCCGGATCATCCCCCCTGCTGTGAGGAGACACACCAGCTCAGCCCGGACCCTACACTAACCACACGCCCACCACCTCACCACTGTGAAACAGAACCAGCTGAGGCCACTTTCCCCCTCCTCAGTCCCTGCCCAACAACCCCTTATACAGCATCGGCAACAGAGCCATGGAGCAGCACGTCCCCCTCCCCATCCACAGCAGCAGAGCTATGCTGCAGCTGTAGCCCGGCCTGCTGTCACAGCCCCTCCCCCTGCTACCTGTGAGCTGAGAGACATCAGGGAGATGCTGCACACCCTGTGTACCCGGCTTCTGTCCAGCTAAGATATATTTACTCAGAGCACTTTCCCATTTGAGTTACAAAACAACATGGACATATATTTGTTAGTTAGTAATAGTAATAGTAATAGCAATAGTAGTAGTCAGTACAATGGTAATATTATTGAAAATAGTACATCTCCATGGAATTAATATCAAATTATTATTTTAAATATATAGATAGTAGAAGGTTTTTTAAATATTTGTCTCACTATACAGGTTCATTTTGATTGTTTTCTTTTTGATGCGTTCATTTCATATAAGCTGTTGGAATATTCAGGGTCTCCACTCCTCAACCTTTGAGCTGAAGAGTGGAAACCCTGAGTTCATGAAATCTATCAAAGACGTTGATATCATTGTATTGACAGAAACATGGTGTCAAGATGATTTGCTCACTCACTGTCCCCCCGGATATAATGAAGTCATGGTGCCCTCCATTAAACTAAAAAACATGCAAGGGTAGAACATCGGGGGGGGATTTTGGTGTGGTATAAAGGAGATCCTTGCAATCAGATCTCACCAGTAAAACAGGGCAAATCGCACATTTGGTTGAGGTTAGATCAAACCCTAGACATAACCGATAGGGATCTATACCTCTGTGCAATTTACATACCCCCAGTGGATTCTCCATATTTTGAAGAGGACATTTTTGACACCCTGAATTCAGAAATTGCCTATTTCCAGGCCCAGGGAAATGTACTTCTAACTGGAGATCTAAATGGACGTACAGGAATTGAACCTGATATCACACAGGGCAACAACTATGTATTTGGTCAGGCCCCCCTGTTTACCACACCAAACATCACCCGTCGGAATAACCTTGACTCAATATTAAATCAAAGTGGCATCTCTGTCGGGCCTTAGGCTTGTACATAGTTAATGGTAGGTTCAGAGGGGACTCTTTAGGGAGTTTCACATACTCCTCAGCTCTTGGGTCTAGTGTTGTAGACTATGCCATCACTGACATGGACCCCTCAACTATCAGTGCATTCACTGTCAGACAGCAATCCCCCCTTTCAGACCACAACCAAATTTATGTGTTCTTTAAATTGTCAGGTCAAATTAGTGACACAAAAAGGGAACCCAGTAAGCTGTATAAATGAAATCCTTCTTACAGATGGGCCCCAGACAGTGGAGACAAATTCATCAAGGCTTTGAACTCCCCTGATCTGATGAATTACATATCAATATATACTCACAATCAATGTATCCCTACCAGAGATGGGGTAAACAAGGCCATTGAGGATATCAATATGATATTTCATAAGGCAGCTATTAGGGCTGACCTCATAAAGCAAAGAAGGAGACCTGTTAAAAGGCAAAATACTGACAAATGGTTTGATCAATAATGCAAAACAATCAGAAAAGAGCTGAGAAAAATAGCAAATGAGAAACATCGCCAACCGAACAACTCAGCCCTGCGCATTCGATACAATGAAATTTTAAATACATATAAATACACAATTAGGATCAAAAAACAAAATTATACCCAATTGAAACTTGAAGATATTGAGAATGCCATTAACCAAAATCAATACTCGGATATGTCGAACAAGTTCAACACAAAGCAACAGCAGACATAACCCATCCAAAATGGTGAAATCTGGAATAATGGAATAATCACATTTTGAAAATCTGTACAAAGACATACCAATCAATCAAATTAATTCAGATCAAAGTATTATGAAAGAAAAACTCCAAAAATTAGAAGAAACAATGAAAGACAACCAAAACCCCCTTGATTTCGAAAATTACTGGGAAGAAATAACCACACAGACAAAATGTCTGAAGCCAAGGAAAGCCTGTGGTCCAGACAGCATCAAAAACTGCTCAAAAGAAATGCTCAAAAGCAGCACCCCAGAAATGCAGGGTGCAGTGTTACATTTGTTCAATGTTTTACTACAGGCAGGATGTTTTCCCAACCTCTGGTGCAAAGGGCTCATTTCCTCCATTCATAAGAGTGGGGACAAATCAGACCCTAATAACTACAGTGGCATCTGTGTCAGCAGCTGTCTAGGTAAACTATTCTGTAGTATTCTTAATACAAGAATACTAGATTTCCTTGAGGAACAGTCAATCTTAAGTAAAAGTCAGATTGGCTTCCTGCCAAAACACCGCACCACCGACCATGTATATACCCTTCACACTTTAATCAACAAACATGTACAACAAACTAAGAATGGAAAAATATTCACCTGCTTTATTGATTTCAAGAAAGCTTTCGACTCTTATTTGGCATGAAGGGCTCTATTACAGACTTTTAAACTGTGGTATAGGTGGCAAAATGTATGATCTGGTTAAATCAAAGTATTTGGAAAACATGTGTGCTGTTAAAATTGGAGACAAACTAACTGATTTCTTCCCCCAGAGAAGAGGCGTTCGGCAGGGTTGCAATCTTAGTCCGACTTTATTTAATGTGTGAAATGAACTGGCTGTTGAGTTGGATAAATGCGCTGCTCCGGGCCTCTCCCTCCTAGATAGAGAGGTGAAGTCTCTGTTTTATGCTGATGACCTTGTTCTACTGTCTCCTACTGAACAAGGACTACAGCTACAGCTGGACGTAGTAGAAAAGTACCGTCAGAACTGGGCCCTGGCAGTAAACATGAAGAAAACCAATGTCATGATCTTTCAAAAACGCCCCAGGTGTCATGAGAACAAACACCAATTTACCATCAATAATCATGTCATTGAACACAGCATGAGTTATACATACCTTGGAATAACTATAATAGCATCAGGGAGTTTCAACATGGCAGTGAATGCTCTAAAAGAAAAAGCTCGAAGAGCTCTATATGCAATTAAGAGAACATTTTATAATTTCCATATTCCAAAAAAAATCTGGCTTAAAATATTTGATAGTGTCATCCAGCCCATTGCGCTGTACGGTAGTGAAGTATGGGGTCCACTCAGTCATCAGAACTTTACTTGTTGGGACAAACATCCAACAGAATCTCTACATGCAGAATTCTGCAGATACACGTACACAGAAACACACCAACAAATGCATGTAGAGCAGAATTAGGCAGATACCCACTGATAATTAACATTCAGAAGAGAACGCTCAACTTTTTTAACCACCTGAAATCCAGCCCCAGAGACACCCTCCACTCCAAAGCCCTCCAAACCCAAGAGCCGAGCACAGAAAAGAGTCCCCTATGTCAGTTGGTACTGAGACTAACTGCCCCCTCTCAGACACACTCTGACCAGCCTCACAACAACACTGCTCTACAAACAGTAATCAGAGTAAAGCAAATTATAGCACAATGTAAAGAAAGCTATCTGGACCATTGGGAAGAAACAACTAAAATCCAAAGTAGATTGGAATGTTATCTTGCCCTTAAAAGAGATTGTGAATTAGCAGAATATCTCTTTACTGTCAGAGATAGAAAGCAGAGACAGATCCTAACCAATTACAGGCTCAGTGACCACAAACTGGCAATCGAAACAGGAAGACACAAAACGCTCAACTTTTTTAACCACCTGAAATCCGTACGCAGAGACACCCTCCACTCCAAAGCCCTCCAAACCCAAGAGCCGAGCCCAGAAAAGAGTCCCCTATGTCAGTTGGTACTGAGACTAACTGCCCCCTCTCAGACACACTCTGACCAGCCTCACAACAACACTGCTCTACAAACAGTAATCAGAGTAAAGCAAATTATAGCACAATGTAAATTCAATTCAATTCAATTTTATTTGTATAGCGCCAATTCATAACAGAAGTTATCTCAGGACACTTTTCAAATAGAGCAGGTCTAGACCGAACTCTTTAAAACATTAATTACAGAGACCCAACAGTACCACCATGAGCAAGCGCTTGGCGACAAGGGCAAGGAAAAACTGCCTGTTAAAAGGCAGAAACCTAGGACAGATCCTCCTGCGCTAGGTTGGTGGTCGTCTGTCTCGACCAGTTGGGGTGAGAGAGAGAGAGGCAGAGAGAGAGAGAGAGACAGACAGACAGACAGGTGCACAGCAACAACAGTATTGGCAATGGCAATCTAGCAGGACCATGGCAGGAGGCTCCACCAGGATCGACAAGAACCTGCGAGACGAGAAAGCACAAGAACTCCGGGGAAGAAGTGAAGTTAGTAACGTGTATTAATGGAACATGAATGAGTGCAGAAAGAGAGAGGAAGGGAGGAGCTCAGTGCACCATGGGAAATCCCCCGATAGTCTAGGCCTATAGCAGCATAACTAAGGGATGGTTCAGGACTCACCTGATCCAGCCCTAACTATAAGCTTTATCAGAGAGGAATGTCATAAGCCTACTCTTGAATGTGGTGAGGGTGTCTGCCTCCTGAACCACAAATGGAAGCTGGTTCCACAGGAGAGGAGCTTGGTAACTGAAGGCTCTGGCTCCTGTTCTACTTTTAGAGACTATAGGAACCACAAGTAGCCCAGCATTCAGAGAACGTCGTGTTCTAGAGGGGTAATAGGGTACTATGAGCTCTTTAAGATATGAAGGGGCCTGACCATGAAAAGCTTTATAGGTGAGGAGGAGGATTTTAAATTCTATTCTACATTTTACAGGGAGCCAATGCAGAGAAGCTAGTACAGGAGAGATGTGATCTCTTTTTCTAGTTCCTGTCAGTACTCGTGCTGCAGCGTTCTGAATTAATTGGAGCGTTTTAATGGACTTATTGGGGCAACCTGATAATAAAGAGTTGCAGTAATCCAGCCTTGAAGTAACAAATGCATGGATTAGTTTTTCTGCATCTGTCTGTGATAGTATGTGTCTAATTTTTCTAATATTACGTAAATGAAAGAAGGCAGTCCTAGAGGTCTGCTTTATGTGGGAGTTAAATGACAAATCCTGATCAAAGATAACTCCAAGATTCCTGACAGTGGTGCTAGAGGCCAAGTTAATGCCATCTAGAGTAACTATATCTTTAGACAGTGAGTCTCTAAGGTAAAGAAAGCTATCTGGACCATTGGGAAGAAACAACTAAAATCCAAAGTAGATTGGAATGTTATCTTGCCCTTAAAAGAGATTGTGAATTAGCAGAATATCTCTTTACTGTCAGAGATAGAAAGCAGAGACAGATCCTAACCAATTACAGGCTCAGTGACCACAAACTGGCAATCGAAACAGGAAGACACAAAACATCATGGCAACCAAAAGAAAACAGAAAATGTGGTCACTGTTCGAGGTGAGGTTGAGACAGAGATGCACTTTCTCCTACACTGTACAAAATTAAATAATACTAGAAAAATGTATTTGAACAAGTTTCAGCTCTTTGATACCAGATTTCAAAGAGCTGAACAACCTCTCCAAATTAAAAATACTCCTCGGAGAAGGAGAGCAGACACACCTTGCTGCCCAGTATGTATTAACATGCCACAACCTGAGGGACAGTAAGTGATCGAGGCACACACACACACACACACACACACACACACACACACACACACACACACACACACACACACACACACACTGTATATAACTAATATAATTTTCATAATGTATATATCTTTGATTTATTTTATTGTATTTGAATACTTTGCTTTGGCAACAAAGCCCATTTTGAATTTGAATTTGAATTGAGAAAAAGTCAAATTATTGCAGCAAAATATGTCTCCTCATGCCACGAACAGAGGACAACCAGTGGAAACTCAGATAAATGTATAAAATAATTGATTGTTTTAGGTTTTTTATATATATATATATATATATATATATATACACACACACACACACACACGTTTACAGTTGTATCTATGTATTTTAAATTAAAATATTTTAATATATTTTAATATTATATATATTATATATTATATTTAATCATTTGTTATTACTGTTATATTGACAACAGACTACTTGTTTTAACTGTAGCCTGTTACTTTACTACTGTTTTAATTACATTTTTAGTTGACACAAACTGATTGATTGACTGATTAATTGTAATTAATTAATTATTGACTGAGATTGATTGATTGTGACTGTGATTGTGATTGAGTCAATCATAGTTACAGTATTACCAACAGTATAGATTATAATTAATTTATTGTAAATATTGTTTTCCTTTATTGTTATTATTATTTTTAATTCCAAACGCTTGCTTTGGCAATATGTACAGTGTTACGTCATGCCAATAAAGCCATTTGAATTGAAATGAATTGAAGTGAGCGAGAGAGCAGGGGAAAGATACTGCCCTTCATCCGGCTCACCGGAAATTCTTTCCCAAGTGAAGTCATGTTAAATAAAAGTTTACTGCAGTGCTTTTACTTTGAAAAGGAAGTTTAAACTGTACTGAAATAGACTACGTAAATATGACTACCAACAGATCCTTTCACTGTGCTGTTTTGTTGGGAGACGCTCACGGCTCGCGGTAAAAATAGGCAAGACCTCAACTCTCTAGTGAAGCGTCACTGCAGACGCAGCTGAGAGGTGCGTCTCACGTGGGCAGTGTACCGCCACCCAGACATGGGCGGTGTGAACAAGCCGTGAACAAGCTATACTCTCTTCATCAACTAATGATTTAATCGACTACTAGGGGACAGGCTTGGGAACCAGAGGGTTGCCGGTTCCAGTCCCACAGACCACAATATGGACTGGTAGCTAGGTGCCAGTTTCACCTCCTGTCCAATGCCAAGGTGCCCTTGAGCAAGGCAACCTAACCCCAAGAAACTGCTCATGGGGCGCCACTAACTTGGCAGCCCATCACTCCACCATCTCTCTCCCTGTTTGCATGTCCACAAATGCATGAAGTGTGTATTTAAGCGTGTGTGTGTGTGTGTGTGTGTGTGTGTGTGTGTGTATAAATAAAAAAGAGTGAAAAAACAATTTCCCCAATAGGGGAACATATCTATACATCTATCTATACGAACATTATGAATGTTGGTGGGTTTTGAGACAGGAAGATATGCAGAAACAAACACGAATGTGCGCACAAGCATATTGTGATACATTTCCTGCTCTGCTCTTTTCCACTTTACCTTGTGTGTTCCCTATATTTAGCTCAGTCCAGGGAAATGAAGCAACACAGGCAGGAAAACTAAGTTGGGAAAGAATAGAAGGAAGTCTAGTGACCATTTAGACAAACAACTTTAAAACTAAGATCAGTGCTGGCTGAATTCGCAGCAGTACTATATGTGGCTGAGACAAAGAGCTTCAGAATGGGGCCATTTGAAGAAAGACTTGGGAGATATTTTTGATCCAGAACTGACAACTGGAGAACTATGCTGGTTTTAGTAGCAGCCTTGTGGATTCAGCTGGATTTTGGTTATGATGTGGATTTAAAAGGACAGCAGTGGACCTGTGAACATGTTTAAAAGAAGGATCTGTGTGGTCTCCTGGTAGATCTGGAAAATCTCAGAAGATTGGTAAGGTGCATAATGTGTTTGTCTAAATGTCTGAATAGAAACCTGCAACAACATTAAAAATATTCGGGATGAATAGCCATGGATGTGGGGAGTGGCCCATACAGAATACCTATGTACAGGGTCCAGAATTATGTGCAACACCCCATTGTGTTGGTTGGGAGACAGGGCAGCATACAAAATGAATGATAATACATACAGTATTATACAGGACAGCTGTGTGGGTTCGGTTCTGGCATCTAGATGTCAACTATGTAAGGGCGACATGGATTCAAGCAAGAAATCACATAATGGGTGTCTAGCATAATGCGGTGCTGACAAGACATGTTAAAAAAGCAAATAGAAAAATTGCCTCAGAGCACTTTAATGCTTAAATATTGAACACTCACTTGGTACAAATTATGAATTTCTACTACACCCCTCTTTATGACAAAATGTTAACTGTACACACAAGATATCTCATCTCTCTCATACCATGACATTTTCTGAGTACATTCATATTCCCCTCGTGTTTAATTTTAATCTCATTCATGTAAGACTATCCTCAGGACCAACTTTACATTTTTAACCCTAATACTGGTAAGAATCTAAGAGCAGAATGTTGCTCCTTGCACTCTGGGTGCTATCAACATTGTATCCTCTCCAGCCAGAAAGTGGACTTTTGTATCATGTTGGATCTTGTCACTTTTTGGACACATTTGGACCTAAATCTTACTCATAACTGGATGCACTGTTTATTATATTATATTAAAGCAGTTTGCAGAAACATATGGGATAAATTGATGGACACCTTCATAAAAGGGTGTCCATCCAGTCTGTTTTTATAACACTGTTGCATTGTGTAATTATTAAGCAGTTTGTTGGCCTGCTTGATTCCTTCTCAGTGATCAAAATACTAAGATGCAAAAACGTTAAACAGACTGGGCCTCACAGGTTGAAGTATGGACAGCTCTTGTGACAACCTATGAAAACCTCTGTGCTTCACAACTTTGTCTTTGCTCTTCTGTGTTTTCAAAATAATCCAGTTGCATACTGTGGCTGTGGCTCAGAGGCAGAGTGGCTTGTTCCTTAATCGGAAGGTTGTGGGTTCAATCCCCGGCTCCTGGTGCCACATGTCGACGTATCCTTGAGCAAGATACTGAACCCCAAATTGCTCCCGATGCCATGTCGGTGTGTGAATGTGTATGAATGTTAGTTTCTGTTCGATGGACTTTGCCGTGAATGTGTGTGAAAGGGTGAATGTGGCACGTAGTGTAAAAGTGCTTTGAGTGGTCGGAAGACTAGAAAGGCGCTGTACAAGTACAGGACTGTTTACCATACATAATGAGTAGTAGCACGAATGACACATTTAACACCTAATTAGCATAATTATTTCATTAGTTGTCACCTGAGAAACTGCACAGACCCTATTAATTTATAAAACAGTTCAGTTTATTCATTATTTCAATTACCTGCAGTTTGTTCAGAGTGCAGTTACCTCTGTGTTTACTGAATAGCCCTCTCCGGTTGCTGCAGGAAGACAATTTCACACACTTTTTATCATATATGAAAAAGTGGAAAGTTCAATAGTGACTGATAAAGACATTGTACATATATAATTTATATATGTTATCGGGAAGTCACATTGAGATTGAGATCTCATTTACAATTGAAAAATTAGTAGAGAGAAAAAACAGAATAAAATCATTTAAACAGCTAATATTGGGGCCCTGGGTCCTTACTGGTGAGGATTCGATACTGCGGTCGATACTGCGGCCCTCTGATACATGTGGTCCCCCTCTCTTTCTCTCCCCCTTTCCTGTATCCACCTGTCCTATCAAACAAAGGCATTAATGCCCCTAAAATATCTTTAAAAAAGGTCATATTTAAATATACGTTCATATAAGCAACACCATGACAAATTATAAATAATAATAGAAATAATAGAAATACTTTCAAAATGTCTTTCATGTAGGTATAAAAAGAATCGAGTAACAATAAATAAGGTAGTCATTTCTGAAGTAAACCTAAGTTTTATCTTAGCAGCAGCTTGGGCATCCAAGAAGGCACTTATGCTGCATTTTTTTTAAAAACATGGTGGCACCAGGGGGGAAATACAGTAGTTTTGTTAATGTAAATATCAATTGTTGTCTCTGATAATCACATCACATGATTTCTTTTAACCCAGCCCAGTATCTGTAGGTAATACGTCCATATTAGATAATTCCACACGTCACTATTTCAATTGACAGTGCAGGAAGTTGTCCTTTATGAAGCCAGACGGAAAGTGAGTCTGGAAATGGACGAGTTGTGTGTCTGACTTTCACGGGGGAGATCAGAGCGCATGTCCTGTCACAGACAAACCTCATACCTGAACAAAAGTTTATTTACCACCACTACAATTTTTCCCCAACATTAACCATACTGTGGTTGTCAGAGTACACCAAAGTTTAACGTTAGAAATGTAAAGTATGGGCCCCAGCATATAGAAACTGCCGGATGCTAACTTGCATATATTGGGCAATTAGCATTATTAGCATTAAATCTAGTATATGGACAATATTTCAGCAACTGCTTGGCTGATTTGGACAATATAGGTGTGGTTTTGGGTCACTCCCAGTGTGCCAATTTTAATTAATCATTTATGTGCTTAATAAACTGGGCTTGCATTTTAAGATGAAAAAGGCAGTAAATCAACAAAAAAAAGGAGGCAAACTAAACCCACAGAAATTAACACATCAATTGTAAGTTACCATCAACAGTTACACTATGATTATTCCACTGTAGTGACCCCTCCCTCTCGCCAGCCTGAATCCTGAGAGCAGTCTGTAAGATGGACCAAACAAGTGCACCCAGTCCCGATGGCATTTGATTCAGTAAGCTACTAAGGTGGGATCTTAATGGAAAAAAGTTGAAGGTCTGTTGTGTAGTATATTACCAAAGTGTCTAAAGGGGGCGTCGAAAAAATTAAATCCCAAAAGCAAATGACCCAGAGAAACTGTAGGCAATTACAGCCCTCTTGAGCATCTGTAAGCATGTTCAGTGCACTAAAGAGAGGTTTTATTAAATCTCCTGGATGTTTAGAGAACCCAGTGATACTAGTGGCCCGGGATGGTACAGTAAAGGAAGCCACTAGTAGTAAAAGTGGAAATCCATCCGTATGCCCGTTCAAGGGTGATCAATGTTGCAGACCACAGAATGGCAGGCAGAGCATTACTAGGCAGATTGACTAATTTGGGGAGGTTTATTGTCATCTGTTGATGGGAGCACTGTTCTGTTCGCTTCTCTTGTCACCCAC